TTGTATGTCACTATATATAACATTTCTTATAGTGATCTATCTATTTTAGTACCTATATATATTATTTTTATTTTTTTTAATTCCTAACATCGATTTGTTTATACGTGAAATGGTAGATAGCATGTAACACTGTACATTTTTAATAGTTGTTGTTAATTTTATTAAAACTTGTGTTATGTTGATTTTTTATTAAATTGTTGATAAGCTCTAAAATTAAGTAATTTATATGAGTTTTAAACATTTAAAAAGTTCTTTATGCAAAGGTCTAGTTTGACCTTGAGATAATATATATAGGATTTTCTTTTTTAGATTTAAGTTTAATATATTCATTTTGTGAAAAATTGGAGAGATGGTGGGGAGTGGAGATTTGGAGTTTTGAAGCTCTTTTATTTTTTTATCTTTCCTTGTTGATTCCTTTTTTAACTCCTTCCCTATAGTTGATTTGAGGTGATTGAGTTGTAAATTGAGTTTTTGAGTAAGAATCAATTTCATGTTGGTGGTGGTGCGGAGTTCTCGAAGCTCGTTGTTCTTCAGCTTCCTTTTCCCTTGACTTTCTTTGATTCCGAGATAAGGGGAGCTAAACTCGATCTTTCTTGATTTATGAAGTTTCGTGTTCTTGTGTTTGTGGTATTTCTCTTATGAATTGTGGTTGAATTGAATCATGCAAAAAGAGATGAGTTGTTAATTTCTTGTATTTTTTTTATATCTCTCAGATGTATGATGATTTATGCCTTGATGTGTTGTTGTATGTGTTATTTCTTACTATAAATGAGTTGTTGACAATGACTATGAGTGTATGGTTGTATTGCATGCTTGGATCTTATGTATTTCATGTGATTTGGACAAAATTTGTAAGTTTGCAAGTATAAAATTCATTTTCGCATCGAACGTACCTTTAGGGTGTCGAAGGTGGCTCAAATTAAAGGCCTTTGTCTCACTCTTATCTAGTACATGATTGATATAGCGTCGACATGCGTGAAGTGGGAGAATTGATTTTGCTTGGTTTGGCCCTAAGCATTAAAGGAGGGATGTTGGGCATAGGAAGAAAAAATCATCTATGTCTAAAATGGAATTGAGTGTTAATTTTTTCACATTAGGTGTGAGGTCCCAGGAGTTTCCTATCTCATCCATACTAGACGTGGGTTGCATGGCACCCGACATGTGTGAGGTAAAGGACTATTTGCCTCAATGGCACTAGGCGTAAGGTGTGTGGTGCTAATCGCGATTTTGCTTTGAAAATTCTTGTAGTTTAATTAGTGATATGATGAACATGAATATGTTAGGTGAATCTATTACATGTTATAAGAAGAATGTATTGTGTTATATCTCATATGTTGATACATGATGTTGAATCTTTACACTTTTGGTGTAGTATATTGTATAAGCTTATTTAATGGTTGAGAGTTGAAGTGAGTGGTTAATATTATAATAGTTTAAGAAGAAAATATAATTTTAAGATAAATTTAATATTTTCAATTAAATTATCTTATTAAATTAGTATTAATAAATTATATAATTGAGTCTTGTAAATATTTTTTAAGAAAATAAGTTTCTTTAAAAAATTATAAAACATCAAATTGACTTAAAGACTATCTAAGATATAAGTCTAAACTATCTTCAAAGTATATCAAGTGAGATTTACTTTAATAATATAATGAATTATTTATTGATAAAAATTAATATTAAAAATTTTATGTATTAATAAATAAGTGAATTCTTTAAATATATATAAAAATGTATTTTATTAAAAAATTATACTTATATTCAGGATACCTTTTGAGATACCAAAACATATATTAATTTATATTTATTAAAATACCGGTTCACATCAAAATATACTAATAATATTGTTAATATTAACTTATTAATAATATTACTAATACCAACTTTTATTTATCAAT